AATGTCAGTCAATGTTATGTACAGATATGCTGACCACACCAGTAAGAACACATCTTCTATCATGGAAATTGATAACATGCCATGAGGAGGTTTCCATCTTACTTTAAATACCACATCCACGTCCTTCTCCACCAGGAAAGACTCATTGTCTGACCCCAAGTAGTTAGCTGACCCTGCTCCACCATTTGGACAATTTCTCTTCACGTGGCCTGTCTGACCGCAGTTCTAACAAATTACTTTCTTCCTCATGGAAATGCCCTTCTTCACTCTAATAGCCTCAAATTCTGAAACAATCCCATTGAAAGCACTCATATGGTTTGCGATTTTCGTAGCTGCTTCCATGCACAATGAATGAAATTGCTTATTCAGGTACAACCAATTTGAGAGGCTCTTCGTTTGATATAGTTCTTCTAACTTCTTCTATAGTTCCTTTGCAGCAGATATTCCATGAATATTTGCAAGAACGTTTTTAGCCAAATAAAGAAGTATCATGCTTGCAGCCTTCAAATCCAATTCTTCCCAATCCTCATTGCTTGTATTGGATTCAGCTTCCCTGCTAGAACTCTTGGTTGGCTTTCCTTTCAAAGCCTAGTGCAGTCCAGCTTGAATCAATAAATCTCTAACTTGTACTTGCCAGAATCCAAAATTGATTCTCCCGTCAAATTTCTCCACGTCATATTTCAATGACGACATTTTTCTGTTGCTCCAATACTCCTAACCAACTGATGTTCTGATACCATTTGTTGGGAAATTTTACACCAATTCCCTTTACTTCTATTTACCCACAAAATCTTTTGTTGTTCAGAAGAATATTAGCAAATAAGAAAAATAAAGAATATAACGCACAAATTAAACGGATCGTCAAAACTTTTTCACTACATAAAAAATTGTTACAATCATATATAATTTCACTCACCAGCCTAATTCCCAAGTATTACAAAGAAAAAATAAAATCAAACTTTACCACACCAAGATGCTAAGCTCACAATATATTTCTCTCAAGTCAACTCTCTGGCCACACCCAAAATAATTAAATACATCCACTATTTATATGATCAATAACCAAGTAGAAGAGTTTAATTTAAACTCAAACAAGACTCCTTTAATTCAACAAGGATTCCTTCATGTACAAGACTCCAAAAATGGCTATAAATTGGAGATCAAATTTTGTAAGGATTCTACTCTCAACTTTAATTAGAAGTCTTCCATACAATAACTATCTTTTATTATTTGCAATAGAAGTCCTCCAACTTTTGACTTTTGAGGCAATTACCCAGCACAATCACCACATCTAAAATGTTACCTTTTTATTTAAATCTTGTGAGCAATACCTTACCTAATCAATATATCTTTAAAATTTTCTCTATTTAATTCATTTGAGATATCAGCACTTAATAAATTTGCATAATACTAATACCAGTTAAGGGTGTAAACCTCAGCTGGATCGCTCAGTCGGGGGCAACTTGACATGTTGAGGCCAACCTATGCCCTGTCCACAAGTACTTTGTTTGTTTTTCCATTTAAGAAAAAAAGGACTTTTTCCCTATAGGCCCATGGTATGGACAGTGCCTGTATTTCGTGATAGATTTACATTTTTTGGGGTAATTTGGCATACTCCAATTTGATAAAAAAATAAAATAAAATTGTGGAACAGTTAAAACGTAACTATCTCATTAACTACACCTCTGATGCTCAGACTCCTCGAAATGGTTAAAGTACCAGTGTTGGGCACGACGGGTATAGGTATGAGATATATGTTGGATCCTCCAAATCTCAACCGTACACTTCACTGTTTTTGCTTCTTCTTTCTTTTTCCTATTTTTCCTTCTTTCACTCTTTGTGTCGGTGGTTTAGGGTTTTATTTGTATAAAATGATTTCTAAATTATGTTTACAGGTAAAGAGAAAAACCAAAAATACTAATTAGACTGTTACCTAATCACCCGACTTAATCTATCTCAACTGATTATGAAATTTGCTCTTCCAGATTTTGGACGAATAAAGGAATTCTCAGTGCAAGATATTCAAGATTTTATGATATTAATGATACATCCATGGAATTCAGGCTTCTAAGATTGCATGGATATAGCATGGACTCCGATAGGATTAGGCACTCCTTTTCCTTCTGTCTGTTTCTTTTGAATTGAAAAATAAAATATAGCTCAGGAGGGCCGGCTGACCTCTAATGGGTGAGAAAATGAAATAATATTAGGGTGCAACTTTTCACAGATGTGTTCAAGCACTTCAAGAAGGACGATAAATTTTCGTGCTATGGTGGTCAAATGATTGAGTCTGCAACTCCATTATTCAATCTCTACAAAGCTTCTCAAATTCAATACAGGCCTATTTTTTGGCTGCAGCTACCATATTTGAGCCAGAGAAGTCGAATGTGAGAGTTATGTGTGCTAGATCTCAAACTATTTGTAAGATAATTATGTTACTAGTCAATACTGAAAGATTTACGTGGAGACCTCATATGCATACACATGGCAAGCACCCAAGAATTGGTGCAGAAGGGACTAACCGAAGTTGTCAAAGAAAGTGTCTAGGTCACTGCACTAAGTTGATCCGAGGTGGTTCGCCTTCTGCCGTCGAACCACTCTACTATCTAAAATCCTTGACAAACAAAAGAGGGTCGGACAAGCGCGTCTTCAGAGTTGACTGATGTGACGTGCGTAATAAATAAGTCTCAGGAATGTTAGCCTAACTTATAGAGTGGGTGACCTCTTGTCAAAATTCTATCAATGTAATTAATAGATGACAGACTTAATGTAATAGTTAGGGTCGGCAGATCAGGCCACGTGGATCCAATCCTACGGTGACCACGTCGGCCTGATTACTATAAATAGGGAATTCTTGTATAAATTGAAAGATCTTGAAAAAATACAGTGAAGGGGATAATATACTTACGTTGTCCACTATTCACCTTCTTCCACAAATATTCATATTTACAGTGGAAATACTACATAATGCGTCTACGTGTATATTACCTTGTATCAATACCTATCAACCATTTTCGAGGTTCAACAAATTACATCTTATTACAATCAAGAAAATACATCTTCGGAGCAAAGTATGGCCTTTTTAGAGAACTTCAGAAATACAATCCATGGTCATAGGAAAACCAAAAGGTAATTACATTTTTCTTTGGTATTTACAAAATCATATATAACATTTTTATGAAATCGACTCAATATTTTTTAATTACTGCAGTCTGTCAATGACTCTCCAACAAACAAATCTTGCACGCCATTTATTGTTTATTGCTTTTGTCATGATCAGATTACATTTATCAGTAGTAGACGGCACGTGTTGACTTTATTAGCACTTAAAATTATTATATGAACACATTCTAAAGTGTTATTTTACCCTTTATAAAAAATCTCCTTCTTAAATGAAGTGTATTATTATTTTTACTCATTGATCATTTATGATATAAATGTAAATTATATTTTCTTATCCTTCTTCAGTGGCGACAACAAGACTAATCATGGAATTCTCAATATATTATTAAAAAAACCGAGATCAATCTACAACGGATGCATGGCGGATCCTCAGCAAAGACATCAGCCCCCAATTACACAATGTTGTGAGTTCACATTATCACCACAGTTTCATTCTTTTACAAAGAAATAGAACAACTTAGTTCATTGTGATCGATGTGTTTCATATTTATTGAGGAAGACAGTGGGGAGAATGCTAGTGAAACTTAATAAAAGAGTTAAGAGCTCTTGGTGCACATAATAAACATTTGTTCAGGCCATATGGCATCCAAGGAGACAATATTACACCCCGAATACAAGAGCCTCTCAAAGCTCACAAACAGAATTTGTCAACAACTTCATAGATATCAAAATGAAAAGGTGAAGCTGATAAATTTGTTGTATAATATTCTCAAGTTTTTTTCTTAATTTACTTCTCAAGAGTTAAATATGTGATGAACAGGTACTAGGAATAGATGATTGCAGGACAGCAAATATTAGCATCAAATGCTGGAAGGAAATCGAATGTGACATACAGACCCTTGTGGAGTTGGTTATATGCACATCTGACGCTGTCAATAAGACTATAAAGCAATCGTTTCTAATGGTTGCAAAAACTTTGTACTACATGGCCTATTTCTCTGAAGAAACTGTTGACGTCCACATATCCAAGGTACTCTTTGAAAGAGTGGTGCGAGTTGTTGTAAATGTCGTTGCAATATTCTTTTCATGAAATAAACTAAACATTGACAATTGTGTGGACATGGGGTGGAAAGAAAGTTGAAAAAAAATTATTAATCAACTATATTTTTAAAATTTTTTTGCCTATATCAAAGAAGGCCAAACATGGCTTGTGATATCTAAATTAAATAAATTTATGAAAAATCTTGATATATTAGCTTCATAGTGGTAATTTTGGACTGGGAACCGAAAAAGCAGCTAGCTGAGCAATTGACCTTTGGAAAGAATTAGTGTGGTAGTTGAGCTCTAATTTTCTATAAAAGGCCCTGTTGGATATAAGAGATCTTTGTCAAGGATTTAACATTTAATCACTTAGTGTAATCCTTCAAACTTGAGAATGCAAAAAAAGGGAGTTGAAGATGAGAATAAAAATGAATTTCTATATAACTTGGAATGAATAATTTGATCTCATTTGTGGCTCTATGATATTATGGTTTTTCTCATTTTATTCCTTGATCCACAATCACATATTTATAGCCATTAGTCATAGCCATACGAAGTGGTGTCAAAACTTAGTGAAAAACCACAAAAATTCAAACTAAAAACGACCCTAGCAGCTAACTGATTACCCTATGCAGTCGCATAGTATTAACCTATGTGACCGCATAGGTTGTCCAAAAGTAGGGCCCTGCAAGCCTCTATGTGGCTGTTTGTTCCCACTTTCATTCCACACGTGTCTTTATTGATTTTGAACAAATAATATAAGGCTTCAATATTTTTTTATTTGAATTTGACAATAGTGTAATTTAAACAAAGTAAAGTCGGAATCAAAGGTAGCGTTGAAGTTTTGAACTAGTTATTCCTTGAGACAATATTCGTAAGAACACACACATAAGTGTCACTTCTTCACACATGAAGACTAATTAAGGTCACTTAAAAGCATTAAAATGTACTTCATAATGTAATTTGCGGAAAATTAACTTCTGGACATATAAATTTAGCTCAATAGACTAATTAAGGTCACTTAAAAGCATTAAAATGTACTTCATAATGTAATTTGCGGAAAATTAACTTCTGGACATATAAATTTAGCTCAATCTATAACATGAGACGTGGGAATCAACCACAAATTGTGTTTTCTTCCAGCTGTGGCACCAAATTTCACGGTCATGTCGAGTTCCTCAGGGCTAATCTCACCAGGAAGTTTCCAGTCGAAGCGGTAGAGGAGATAAGCTAGAGAAAGCTCAAGATCAGCAATAGCAAATGTAATTCCAGGACAATTCCTCCTGCCTGCGCCAAATGGTATTAACTCAAAGTGAGCTCCAGTATAACTAGTCGAAATATTGCTAAATCTCTCCGGTTCGAAAACATCAGGATTATCCCAGACTTCTGTATCTCTTCCTATTGCCCAACCATTTATTACAGCTATTGTATTAGCCGGGATATCATATCCACCAATCGTGCATTTTTCCCTGCTTATTCTGGGGCCTAACAAAGGACCAGGAGGGTATAATCTCAACGTTTCTTTAATGACCATTTTTAGGTAACTCAAACTTTGAACATCACAATCAGAGATTTTTTCCATTCCCTTAAAAGCTTTCCTCACTTCTGCCTGTGCCTTCTCCATAACTCTCGGGTGCTTCATCATTGCTGCCATCGCCCATTCAACTGCCGTGGATGAAGTTTCCGTACCAGCAGAAAACAGTTCCTGTTGTATTCATGAACAAATTTTGAATATGATAGTTTTGCTCATAAGGTATTATGATTGCATGTTCGATAAGGTGAAATAAACAATACTAGACATTATGAATATAACAAACTAATATCTTGTCTAATCCAGGCTGCTCTGGAATGAAGCAACTACAAAGGTACGAAATCAGTGGATGCACGAATGGAAGATGCAAGAGTAGGCTTCGAATTTCATTCCAATATAGAAGCAAAATGAATAGAATAAAATAGCTTTGAAATCGAGAAGGCAACTTTGGTACGTTGAATGGTTGAACGCTAAGATGCTCCTCAATACAATGATTTAAGGCAATTGTTCTGCACGGTAGCATCCAGTAAAATGTATCATTGATGATATTTGGACTTAGTAGTTGAATGTAAAATATAAGTGAATCCTTCTCGTAATAAAAATTGTAAAAAAAAAAAAATCTTATAATAGTTCACTTACAAGTATATTAGCTTTGATGTTCTCCCTAGTGATCGGAACCTGGAATTCTCCGCTGTCCTTTAATCGTAAGAAAACATCAAGTAGATCTTCCTCCGATGACTGATCGCCGGTCTGGCCTCCTTTTGTACTTAGCCGGTCCTCTTCGTGCTCACGAATAATGTTTTCGAGAATGATGTCAACTTTTTTGTGCATATTAACTAATTTTCGCTTTGATCCAAAAAGGGTATCCAAAAACTGTAGGGAAGGAAATATATCTCCAACGTTGAAAATTCCGGCGAATGATGCAGTGTCTTTTGCCAAAGTAACTAATGCTTTTTGATCACTGCATCTTCTTCCAACTGCAGCGCGGCATATTATCGCAATTTGAGCTTCTGCAACATATTCCGTCAAATTAATCGGCACTCCTTGAGAGGATTGAATACGACTAACTAGACTAGAAAACTCTTCCTCCATAATATTTCGAAATGATTGAACTTTTTTCGTGCTCAAGAGCTCCATAACACAGAGTTTACGCATCTGCCTCCAGTGTTCTCCGTATGGAGAAGAACCCAAATCTGAGAAATTGTAAAACATAATCTTAGTCAGAAGAAGCTGGGGCCTGTCCGCGAAAATAACGCCATTTGTTTTCAGCGTTTCTTCTGCAATTCGAGCAGATGACACTACAATTGTCTGAAGTTCCCCAACCTGAAGGTGCATAATGGGCCCATATTTTTCTGATAACTTTTTGAGAGATCGATGGGGTAGTGAACCAATCAGTTGGTGCAAATTCCCAATGAAAGGCAGTTTCCATGGCCCTGGAGGCAGTTTCTGAACGGTTCTTGATTTATTGTAGTACTGTTTAACTAAAAGGAATAGGAAGAACAAGAAAGTGGCAAAGGAAAAGGAGAGCTGGATCTCCATTAAAGTTGGAAGATAGGTTGCTGGAATTATGAAAAATTATTACTGTAATACAGATACAGTAGGAAGAAGATTTGTTTACGGTTATTTCAAGTAGACATGAGCATAGTTTTATAGGTGAACTTTGCCAACGTCTATTAGTGAATTAATTGTTCCAATGGTCTCTCCTTTTTGGTCTCATTGACTTCCAGTGAATAAATACAATGGCTGACATGAGCAATGCTTGTGCCTTGTTGAATTGACTTCCGATAGATTTGGCAAAAGAGTCCGCAGCGACGGCTTGACTACCAGCAATATATTATTTAGCAAGGTGCCCAGTTCAGCACAACACTTGTTGAATTGAGTTTCGATAAATTTGGCAAAAGAGTCCGCAGCGACGGCTTGACTAACAACAATAATATTTCATTACCAAGATGCCGGTCTAGTACGATAATATATGATTATTCATTTGGCTTGCAATTTGTTTTGAGAATAAGAAAGATTACCCAAATACTTTTTGTGTTATTTTCATGATTGTTTATTATTATTTCTATAATGATTCGTGACTTACTAATATGATTGTTCCCTTTGTAATATATACATAAATTAAGAATAGAGTTAAAAATTTACTTCGTTTCTAAACTTACCAGCATGTTCGTAAATGGACCTTCATTCAGTTTGTACTTCCTATCAACCAAAAGGAATTACATTGTACTTCATTCATCTGGAAACCAGAGTTTTAGCAAAAGCTAGGCCCTCTCTAACGGCTATTGTTCTGCATCTTGAACCTATGGCCTCCCGATAAGTCTGCAAGATTGAACAGCAAGGACAGTTCCAATATGATATCTGAGCACAGCCCCAACACCCAAGTGTCCCGCACCCATATGAACTGATAGAACCCATCGTAACCATTAAGTTGTATATTCAAGTTATAAGCCACATAAGCACATTGTTAGCTTAATAAATCTCATTATTAGTTTTTTTTACGCTTCATAATCCAAAGCTTTTAGTGTGAGCTATGTGGAGACATTTGATAGTCAATGAAGATCCAATTGATCCCTACAAAAACACATAGATGTCATTATCACGGATTTACACATCTCATTTATAATTCTAAATACAATGGCTGACATGAGCAATGCTTGTTGAATTGACTTTCGATAAATTTGGCAAAAGAGTCCGCAGTGACGGCTTGACTAACAGCAATGATATATCATTACCAAGATACCTGGTCTAGTACGATAATATATGATTATTCTTTTGACTTGCACTTTGTTTTGAGAATAAGAAAGATTATCAAAATACTTTTCGTGTTATCTATTCAGAATAAGAAAGATTATTAAAATACCAGTCGGTGCAAATTCCCAATGAAAGGCAGTTTCCATGGCCCTGGAGGCAGTTTCTGAACGGTTCTGGATTTATTGTAGTACTGTTTAGCTAAAAGGAATAGGAAGAACAAGAAAGTGGCAAAGAGAAAAGAGACCTGGATCTCCATTAGAGTTGGAAGATAGGTTGCTGGAATTATGAAAAATTATTATTGCAAGAATCAGAAAAACACTGAGGAAGAGAGTACTGTGAGATCCACTTTCAACAGGATAAATACAGATTACTATAGTAAGAAGATTTGTTTACTGTTATTTCAAATAGACATGAGATTAGTTTCATAGATGAACTTTGTCGACGTCTATTAGTGGCAGCACAGCAATATTACGACTTTTTTATAAATCGAGAAAAATATTAAAAAGTTGCGGGATGATCCCCCACGCCATATGGCTTCTCCACCGTCAGTGGGTTATGTGGATGGCAGTGTAACACATCGGGTAAAGTTATTGTTCCACATTAAACTTGGAAGTTTCAAATCAATAACAACTTTATATTGTAAATATAAATTTATTCACGGGCAGAAACTTGTTATTTTGTTTGGATATTACTGTCAAGTTATCCAACAAATAATTTCACTTTCGTTGAATAAATTCATGATTGCTTAGCAGTCGGTAGGGCTAGATATGTTCCGATTCGGTTTGATTATCTTTAGAACCGAATTAGACTCGAATTTTTGGGTATTTAGTAAATGGAACCATCGGATCCAAATTTAATTATAAAACCGTTTGGGTTCGATTTTTTGGGTAACATATAATAATTAAATTTTTAATATTTATAATAACGTTGCATTAATTTAACAAATGATATGTTTAATCTTAACTCTTACAAAATGACGTAATCTAATTTTATGTATCTTTTTCTCCTTTCTTTGCCGAGTTCTGAATAAATTTGATTGTTAAAATCATAGAAAGAGAAAGAAGCGAGCCGACAATAATGAAGAGAGGCATAGTCAAGCTTTCAATTCTATAATTCTAAATACAATGGCTGACATGAGCAATGCTTGTTGAATTGACTTTCGATAAATTTGGCAAAAGAGTCCGCAGCGACGGCTTGACTAACAACAATAATATTTCATTACCAAGATGCCGGTCTAGTACGATAATATATGATTATTCTTTTGACTTGCACTTTGTTTTGAGAATAAGAAAGATTACCCAAATACTTTTTGTGTTATTTTCATGATTGTTTATTATTATTTCTATAATGATTCGTGACTTACTAATATGATTGTTCCCTTTGTAATATATACATAAATTAAGAATAGAGTTAAAAATTTACTTCGTTTCTAAACTTACCAGCATGTTCGTAAATGGACCTTCATTCAGTTTGTACTTCCTATCAACCAAAAGGAATTACATTGTACTTCATTCATCTGGAAACCAGAGTTTTAGCAAAAGCTAGGCCCTCTCTAACGGCTATTGTTCTGCATCTTGAACCTATGGCCTCCCGATAAGTCTGCAAGATTGAACAGCAAGGACAGTTCCAATATGATATCTGAGCACAGCCCCAACACCCAAGTGTCCCGCACCCATATGAACTGATAGAACCCATCGTAACCATTAAGTTGTATATTCAAGTTATAAGCCACATAAGCACATTGTTAGCTTAATAAATCTCATTATTAGTTTTTTTTACGCTTCATAATCCAAAGCTTTTAGTGTGAGCTATGTGGAGACATTTGATAGTCAATGAAGATCCAATTGATCCCTACAAAAACACATAGATGTCATTATCACGGATTTACAAATCTCATATATAATTCTAAATACAATGGCTGACATGAGCAATGCTTGTTGAATTGACTTTCGATAAATTTGGCAAAAGAGTCCGCAGTGACGGCTTGACTAACAGCAATGATATATCATTACCAAGATACCTGGTCTAGTACGATAATATATGATTATTCTTTTGACTTGCACTTTGTTTTGAGAATAAGAAAGATTATCAAAATACTTTTCGTGTTATCTATTCAGAATAAGAAAGATTATTAAAATACCAGTCGGTGCAAATTCCCAATGAAAGGCAGTTTCCATGGCCCTGGAGGCAGTTTCTGAACGGTTCTGGATTTATTGTAGTACTGTTTAGCTAAAAGGAATAGGAAGAACAAGAAAGTGGCAAAGAGAAAAGAGACCTGGATCTCCATTAGAGTTGGAAGATAGGTTGCTGGAATTATGAAAAATTATTATTGCAAGAATCAGAAAAACACTGAGGAAGAGAGTACTGTGAGATCCACTTTCAACAGGATAAATACAGATTACTATAGTAAGAAGATTTGTTTACTGTTATTTCAAATAGACATGAGATTAGTTTCATAGATGAACTTTGTCGACGTCTATTAGTGGCAGCACAGCAATATTACGACTTTTTTATAAATCGAGAAAAATATTAAAAAGTTGCGGGATGATCCCCCACGCCATATGGCTTCTCCACCGTCAGTGGGTTATGTGGATGGCAGTGTAACACATCGGGTAAAGTTATTGTTCCACATTAAACTTGGAAGTTTCAAATCAATAACAACTTTATATTGTAAATATAAATTTATTCACGGGCAGAAACTTGTTATTTTGTTTGGATATTACTGTCAAGTTATCCAACAAATAATTTCACTTTCGTTGAATAAATTCATGATTGCTTAGCAGTCGGTAGGGCTAGATATGTTCCGATTCGGTTTGATTATCTTTAGAACCGAATTAGACTCGAATTTTTGGGTATTTAGTAAATGGAACCATCGGATCCAAATTTAATTATAAAACCGTTTGGGTTCGATTTTTTGGGTAACATATAATAATTAAATTTTTAATATTTATAATAACGTTGCATTAATTTAACAAATGATATGTTTAATCTTAACTCTTACAAAATGACGTAATCTAATTTTATGTATCTTTTTCTCCTTTCTTTGCCGAGTTCTGAATAAATTTGATTGTTAAAATCATAGAAAGAGAAAGAAGCGAGCCGACAATAATGAAGAGAGGCATAGTCAAGCTTTCAATTCGATTTCTTTAGAACTGTAGAAACAATAATACGATAGAATAATATATTTGAGTAATGTTTAGATCGATTTTTATTAAATTGAAATTAGACTAAAAATTAGAAACAGGAAATTATATTTTAGGTTTGAGATAAATTAATTAGTTAATAATTTTTTTTAGAAAAAATAATTTGACTTATTTAAGATTAATAAATTAAAAAAATGAGAATCAAACCAAACCGAACCAAATCCATTGATTTTCGATTCAGATACCGTTCGGGTATTTAATTAAAGAAGAACTGCTCGGTTCGATTCAGTTAGAAAGTTTTGTCCAACCCTAGCATCTAGGATGAAAAAAAAATAGTATTATAATCATATTTTAGTTGACTAAATTCATGAATGCTTAACAGCCAAGACGAAAAATATAGCATTACTACTATTGGTGCAGAGTTGGGTCTCCAATTCAGTGGAGGCAAAATTTAACTACAGATTTTTTTAATGATGCCATTAACTTTTAGTGTATAAAAACAATGGCTAGACATGACATGAGGAAGAACGTATCTGTTGAATTGACTTCGATAAATTTGGCAAAAGAGTCGGCGTCAATGGCTCAACTAACAGCAGTATATTATTAGCAAGATGACCAGTTGCGAATATATGATATTCTATTGGTCGACTTTTCCATTAACTTAATTGATTGAATGAGTAAATAAAACAAATTATAAGTTTTATCACCAGTGATCGAAAGAATGCTTATTATAATAGGCAT